AAGATCTGCATTCTTTATAACACTTAAAAGTTGAAATGTGAAAGTCCATACCAAATAAATAAAATAAATAGATAAAATTGATTTAAAAAAAGATTAAGGATGTGAAGCTTACCAAGATTACACTGATTATTATGGTCAGTATTTAATTAGGAAACATAAAACAATTATAATTATGAAATTGAACCATTTTAATCTATACAAAAAAAAAAAAAGTTTTGGTCACATACTAGAGGGATTAGAAGTGAATAAGTCATTTTCAGTCAGGATGTCAGTAACTGTATAATTGTGATGAATCTGCTCACAATTCTTTACATAAAGATTTTATATTATGATGATCCTAACATGAGGTCTTTTGATTATTCCATTATTTATTGGTCGCTGAAATATAAGCACCAGGTTGGTGGTTCAGGGTCAATCTGATCTCTACCACCAAGTACTATTTAATATCCGAGTACCATCACTATACTATAGACCAGGGGTGCTCACACTTTTTCAGCATGTGAGCTACTTACAAAAGTCAAAATGATCTACCTAATACAAAACCAAACAAACTGCACTGAAACACTCTGTGCCCCTTTTTTCGACCCTCACCCACAGTTTGAGAACCCCTTCTTTAAGAGAACTTTTTAAAGTTCCAAACTGGAGTTGCATTCTTTTCTGGTTTTGCAGTGATATTTACCAGCCTCTGCACATTTACCAAACCAAACTCACATCGTGACAAACACAGATGCATTTGTGCATTTTTATTAGGCAAACTTCAGCCAAATGTGGCAGTAGGTCTGTTCTGTAGATCCGCTCTATGCTGTAGACCTGCTTTGTGCCAACAATGGAACACAAATTTAGACTTGTTTTTACTTCACGTTTGGTCTTGTTCTTCTAATCAGCCGCACTGTGGGAGGGGCTTGTGTTCGCTGTACGCAGGAAGGAGAGCGTGAAAAGGCGAGGGGCGGCGTGCTGACGTGAGGCAGATGGACAGGTAGGATGTTTAGGAAGTTGAACCTGCCCTGTGATGCACGCTGGTACACGAGGGCACACGCTGTTGCAGACGAGCCGTGCATAGGGAGCGTGTGTATTTGTGATGTAGACGTTTCAAATGAGCGCACACTGCACTAGAGTCCAACAGCAGCGGCCGTAATGAAATATGATCGCACTTGTTGAGTGTCAGACCTTGAGTGAGAGACAAGACCGAGTCCAAACACGAGTCCAAGACGAGACACGGCGATCTACCCACACGACCTTGGCGATCGACTGGTAGATCACGATCGACGTATTGAGCACCACTGCTATAGACTATATCAGGTCTAAATTAGAGCTAAACAGGGTCTAAAATAAGACTAGATTGAGGTTGAAAATGAGACGAAAAAATTAATTTGATGGCTCTAAATCATGATTTAACCAATAAGGACAAAAAAATTGATTTGTCTCTAATTCTGCACTCACTGGTGCAGCGCATCATTTCCTTCAAACACAAAATGAGGCTACATTTATATGATGATGGTCTGAAGAGAAAATGCAAAAGTGCTGTTGCGTTTTCACTTTTTATTATTATATATATATATTATTATCGATAGGAATGTTGGACAGTATGACTTTTCACTTATATTTCCATGGAGAAAATAATAGCTTTTCTTCTACCTAAACCTTAGAAAATGCATTTATCAATCCTTACCGTGTTCTATCCAGGTCCCTGTACCCAGCAGTGTGTGTCCACAGACAGTCACCACACAGACGTAGGTCCCAACTCCAGCAGAACTGAAGTCCTTCCAGGTCAGGGTCACTTTATGAACACATGAAGTTTCTCCTGTGTCGCTCTTCTCACAGGACATCGTGGTAATCCTGTCGTTCCATGAAGACATTTGAGAAGCAGAAGTACTTTTAGCCCAGGTGACACTGGTGTCTTCTTCAGGACAGAGGCTGGTGTTAAATGAACAGCTGAGAGTCACAGAGTCTCCTGGCTGCACTCTGATATAGTCTGGACTCTGGAGCACAGATGGTCTGGACCTGGACTCTCCTTCAACCACCACAACAGTTCCTGCGCTAAAGTCTATATAACTGTTTTGATTAAATCCACAGTAGTATGTGCCGGCGTCTTCCCATGTTACGTCTGCCACAGTCAGAGTACTACCAGTATCGTGGGACTTCAATGAGTAACGTTTATCTTTGAGTTTAAGACCTGAAAACCGAAATTCTATAGCTATTTCTTGTAATCTCCTGTTGGTGTCCAGTTTGTACCAGCCCAAAGTTCTCCAGTCTTTGTCGACTTCACAGTTCACATGAAGCACGTTTCCGAGTCTCACTTTTTGGCCAAATCCAAACTGAAGCTGAGCCTCAACTGCAAAAAAATATTTATACTATTATAGATTTTTTTCCCCAAGTGACAGGGCAGAAATGCTTTAGTTTTCATACTCACCATGAGACCAGAGAAGAATCACAGCCACAACCTTGAAGAGCATCTTGTCACTTGTGATCTGAAGTGAGCAAAGATGAAATATAAGCCCCGTGATGAGGGGTTCTGATTGGACACAGCACATGCGGAACTCCACCTGATTGGTTGATTTTGTTAATACCACTGACTGACAACCACAAAGTGCCCAAAGACACGAAGACACACAAATGGACCTCATGATAATAATAATAATAGAAGATACCGTAAAAACTTCTTCAGCCTTGAATATTTCTTGCTCATGTGGTTTTCTGACATCCAGGTTTATCTGCTTGTGTATAGTTTATTTGTAGAAGTGTCTGTGGTAACAGTGAAACTGGGTTTAAACTAACAAAGTTCACATCAGTGTTCATGTGTTTGTTCTCCAGCAGGTGTCTGGAGACCAGTCACGTCACAGCTTTGAGGTTTATGTGAAGTCAACAAAGCTAAAACAAACATGGCGACACAGACAGACGTACTTCAGCCTATTTTAGTATCAATGCAGATTATTATTACAGATTATAAAACATGCAGAAGGTAAGAGCTTTGTGCATTTGTGACAGAGAAGATTTTCTTTTAACTAGATGTAACTAAAGTTTGATTTTTCAGCTTGTTCTGCTGTTGTGACGTTTCGACCAATCAGATTCAAGTAGTTGTCATGACGTTCTGCATTTTCCTTCTTGTGCATATTTTTTTCAATATTTGTTTATTCTTTTCTTGAACATTTAAACACTTTACATCTTGACTGTTTTAAATGAACTTGTTTGACAATTGTTCCTATTTTAAATCAGTCCCCAGCAGTAACACAGTGTGTGGTCAAAGGACGAGGTGTTCTCAAGTTTATTTTCAAATGTCTGAATTACACTCTTCACATGTAAACTGGTAACACTTTATAATAACTACACATTATCTAGATTTAATAAAGCATGAACAAAGACTTAATTAATAATGATTCATGCTTAGTAAATGCTTAATAAAGCATAATACGTCTTGACTTTAGAAAAGCTCTCAAAAAGACTTAACTAACAGATAACAGCTGCCTGAATGATCATTGCTTTGTATTATTAGTAAATCATTCTCTCATAGCTTATTAATCATGAATAAATGCTCAAATGGTTAGTCCATGAGTAATTAAGTATGAAATAATCATGAGTAACTATTTACAGCACAGGCAAATTAAGTGCAAGTGCTAATTAAGGTAGTAATTAAGTAGTTACTAAGTGTGAATCATTATTAATTAAGTCTTTGTTTATCATTAATTAAGCCTTCGTTCATGCTTTATTAAGGCTAAATAAGGTGTAGTTATAAAGTGTTACCTTAAACTGTAACAATAACCAAAATAAGCACAAAATCCACACACAAAAAAAACAACTTTATTCTTATTGTTGTTTTTACATTATGTTTGAGTTACATTTGGCATAACTGTTTATTACTTATTTCTTCTTTTGTTGTTAATTCTGACGTCAGAATACAGTACTGTGTCCTCTTTGGGTTGGATGGAGGTCCCCCTGCTGGTGGCGCTGTGGTGCCCTGTCCTGACTCCAGCATATGTAACACTGTCTTCAACCTAAAAAGAAACACAAAACATAAAACACACACAAAAATCACACACAAACACATGTCTCCTCTTAAAGGTGCACTGTGCATCTTTTCTGGTGTTTCTGGTGGTTTAGTTTTGTCTGAAATGGTCTGCAGTTTGACGTTAAACTTCTTTATCTCCATGGAAACAAGCAGGTGAATCTACCAGGTCAGATCTGTGGAGAAGTGAGCCGGCACAGTCAGAATGCATTTTCTCTGCTATTTCTAAACCGTAAACACACAGACAGACATACAGACGAGCAGGTGGCAGACACTCCATCAGAAAGAAGAAGTTCCATAGTGCCTCTTTAAAGGTGCACTGTGCAAGTTTTCTAGTGGAGGGTCCGTCACCTGCTTGTCTCCATGGAAATGTTATTGCTTTGTCTAGAATGTTCCACAGAATAGATTTAACCTCTGAACAGGTTACACTACATGACAGTTCAGATCTGTGGAGAGTCGCCTCTATTCACAAAAGAAATGACTGTATTTTTGAGCAATAGAAACACCTGCAATGAATAAATACTAGACAAATACTTTTAATGTCACACCATGGAACATTCCAGGCTAAGCAAAAACATGTCTATAGAGAAAAGTGTGTAACAGACCCTCCACCAGAAAAGTTGTGCAGTGCTTCTTTAAATGTGACATTATTGACAAGACTAATGTGAATATGATTGAAAATAATATTAAAATGATTCGACCTGGTTGTGTTGAGGAGAGTCCAGACTGCACAGAGCTCTTCCTGTAAAATAAACACACGGCTTTGCTTTTGTGGAGTTGATAGTGTTGACACTTTTCTGAATGACAACTGTACCTGGAGTTTGTTTGTCAAACTTCTTGCAGCTCACGAGCACCAGGGCAAGAACAGACACCACGAACGCAACAGAGACCACAATCAGAGCCACAATCAGAGCGATGGAGCTTTGACTCAGAGGAACTGGAAGATTTTCTGCAATCAGAAACAGTTTTATTAAAAACTAAAAATTGTTTTGTTATACTTTCAGATGGACAGAATAAATCTGAACATGATGTTGAAAATGTGCATCTTTATAATACTTGAAAATCCATATAAAATAAATAAACAGATAAATGTTAATATGACCAAGATTACACTGATTCTTGAAATCATTTTTGTAATTTTAAAAAATGTAATGTAATATGTAGTGCTGTCAGTCGACTAAAATATTTAATCACGATTAATGAATGTCATAGCTAACTCGCACTCGCGATTGACAGTTTTGTACAACTTGTTTTGCCTCCGGTTTAAAAGCAGAACCTGTAGTTTTTCTAACGTTACAGCAGTGGCCAGAGGTTATGAAAACTAGTTCAATAGGTCATAAAGAGCATATGTGACGGAGCGCCCCTGTTGCCCCGTCATCACCCGACCGGTGAAACATCAAATTATGTTCCCTGAAAACCAGTGTTAACTAGAAAAGCACTCAGAGAGCGCAGACCTCCGCCAAGGACTACAGTCCCCCTCATATTAATTGTGTTTTCCATAAATATTTGTCTCGTATCTTTCAATTTGGAATATGAAAGAGGATCCCATTGTCCATCCCTGAGTCAAATTTCATGGGGTTTGGTCAATAATTAACTGAGATATTGAGAAATAAAATTTTTGGCCCCATTTACCACAATGTTAACTAAAATTTCAAAGTGATCCAGAATCCAGGATTTCTTCCGGATCACCCCCAAAATTACATCAGTTCTTCCTTTTCACATTTCCAACAAATCCTGAAAATTTCATCAAAATCGGTCCATAACTTTTTGAGTTATGTTGCTAACAGACAAACAAACAAACAAACAGACAAACAAACAAACAAACAAACAAACAAACGCCGGCAAAAACATAACCTCCTTGGCGGAGGTAATAAACTCTGCCCCCAGAAGCATCACAGCACAACTGGCTCTACGGAAAACCATGAGGGTCAAATTAGTTTTGGTTTTGTGAACATTAACAAATCTGACCCACTAAAGCATAGTTCCAGTTCAATTTCTTAATGGGTTTTCATTGTATTTATGTTGTTTGTGTTTGGGGCCTTGATTGATGGATTTTGAAAATAAACCACATGTGATGTAAGTAAAATACGACACTTAGTCTTGACACAACGGTGGTGGTGGTAATTTGGTGTTTCAGGGGCAGGGTTGGCCTAACCAAGTCAGTGCGCCAAGTTAATAAAAGTTGGCGAGGGCAAAGCGCCTGGTCGTGTTCAGACAGAGTGCATGACCGTTTACAAAATGGAGCTCCCAACTCTGTTAGACTGTTTCCACGCAGGGTTTTGCTGTAAATATCACACACACTGGGCTGTGGTGTGGATCAAAACACACCAGTAAACTTTTTTCAACTGAGCCATCATTTTTTACATTTATTTTGGATGAGCCCATGACACGTGACATCTTGAGATAAAAAAATTTACTCTGTTAAAATTGTTATACGTTAACTCGTTAATAACGTGATATTTTGGACAGAACTAGTAATATATAATGTAAAAATAAAACACTTTGAACCATTTCAGTCTATACAAAAAACAAACACAACTTTTTGGCTCAGTTGAACAAAACATTTTAAGTTATTACATGTATTAGATGGTATCAGTAAGTTTGTTTTTAAGTCCTTGCACAGCACAGAAACTGCACATTTTTAATTATCTGCTTTTAATTTCTGATTCTGGTCACTCTTCTGTGCTGATGCTCTTAAACCTAACAGCGCCAGTTCACTGTTGACCATAAAATTATTCGATTCCGTCTTATATGTGCAAGATTAAAAGCACTGTGCTCAGATGGTTTCAGTTATACCTAACTGACAGCTTTTTCTCAGTGTAGAATGTCTGATTATCAACTTTGCCTGTAACATGTACCATTGTTTGTATAATGACAAATAAGAGACTTGACTTACTGTACATTTCTATCCTTGTTCCAGGACCAAGCATCGTGTTTCCACAGGCAGTCACCACACAGAGAAAAGTCCCATTTTCAGCTGAACCAACTTCAGTCAGGATCAGGTTATGAACACATGAAGTTTCTTCGTCTTCTCTCACCTCACAGCTCATACTGGTGTTCTCAAAGTTCCATGAAATAGCTTCTGAACTTTTAATCCAAGTGACACTGGTATGTTCTTTTGTACAGAGGCTGGTGTTAAATGAACAGCTGAGAGTCACAGAGTCTCCTGGCTGCACTCTGATAAAGTCTGGACTCTGGAGCACAGACAGGAGTGAAGGAGGAGGTCTGGATTTTCCTTCAACCACCACCACCACAGTCCCTGGTCCAAAAGTGACATCATACTCATTTATGACTCCACAGTAGTACGTGCCGGCATCCTCCCGGGTCACATTTGATACACTCAAAGTACTATTAGCTTCAGAAGTGTGCACAGAGTAACGATCTTCAGTGTATAAACTTTTATTTTTATTGGTAATTACTGATACCATCAGTTGTAGTCTCCTACTGGAGTCCTGTTTGTACCAGACCACAGTTCTTGAACCACTGTAGACTTGACAGTTTACATGAAATGTGGCTCCCAGTGTTGTGGTTTGAGAGAATTCAGGTTGAGATTGTGTCTTAACTGGAATAAAAAAAATTAAAAAAAATAAAATAAAGTTATATAAAGTGAAAGATAAAGATCAGATGTGTCAGTGTCATAACTTACCCTGAGTCCAGATCAGGATCACACCTAGAACCCTCAGAATAGATGTCATTTTGTCTCGGCGTAGATGATTATGATCTGAAGAAGGCAGGAGACCAACTTTAAGGTCCTGAGACGGGGTATCTGATTGGACAACTGCTTTCACATAACTCCACCTGATTGGCTGGCTTTGTTTCACTGAGAGCTGCAGACTGTTGATCAGAGATATTCAAGTATATACTTATGATTTAATTTTCTGTACTAAGCCTCATGATTTTATTGTGTGTTAAAGTTTCGGGGGGGTTTGGTGGAACATCCTCTGGGACTGTTTTTAATAGACAGTAAAGCTCTGTGCTACTGATTCAATTCTTTAGTGTCTAAAAAGTAAAACAAAATCCTTAACTCTATGCAAAACTTGTCACCAACAGGTACATTATAAAAATGAATTTAGACTGGAAACCTCAAACTCTAGACCAGCTGTTTTCAGAAGTAGTAGTGTTGTTGTACTCACCTTCATGTAAACCACGAGAAGAGCTATGACCATGATGCTCTGCTGCACAGACACGTTCAAACTAGTTGTGTGGTTGAAATGCTGTAGCAGAGCATGCACTAGAAAGACTTTTCCTCTATAGTATTTATACTCATGCCCACATTAGTGATATGACCAGTGTAGGTGTGATATGAAACAGAACAAAAGTTACACCCTTCACAGACACTGACATACACACAAATACTGTTTATTGTTTATGCATTCCCAGACATACAATAATATTATACTATTATTTTTCTTTTCACAGTAGATTTCAATGGATAGAAGATCATTCACTATTAATGACAAAAAAAAAAAAAAAAAAAACTTTTGCATCATTACATTCTGACATAAGTTCATCAGTATGGTGAGTGGATGTTACTTTGTGATGTGATTGTGTTGGAACATCCTCTTATGAATGTACCTGTTTTGTTTCTTCAGTGAAGCGCTCTCTGCAGTCTTCACTACACTGAACAGAGTAAACCACATAGCTTTGTTTGTGGCTCGGTGTTTTGTCCTTTGAGTGGAATAGTTTCACCGTTTCTCAGAGGTTCTGATTCTCTGTTGTCCTGTTTTTAACTCTCTTTATTCTACTGAAAGCCCATTTTGGATACTCACAAACAGAACATGAGCATATAGACACTTATGTATGTACAAACAAAACTGTCCCATAGTTCTGTACATATATATATATATATATATATATATATATATATATATATATATATATATACACACACACACACACACATATATATGAGAGAGAGTGAGAGAGAGCAAGTGATTGGGACAATTTGGTAGAGAGAACATCTTTTGAAATGAAATGTCAGAGCCCAAATGAACTTTGTTCTTATTCTTGAGGTGAAGTTCTTCTGTTCTTATGAAGTATGAGTGTCTCTGGAGATAAACAGCAGGGGGTGTGGTCAGTGACAGCTGACCAGTCAGTACATGGTGCCAGGATGGGGCTCTATAAAAATTTAATAACGAAAGCAAAATTAGTAACTTGCTGGGAGAGCGTCCTAATAATTGGGAATGTAATATCCTTCAGACCCTGCACTTCTCCCCTCTCCTCACATACAGTAAGTGTTTGTTTGAAAATCAGCATCTTAAAATATACATTTTTACAAACTTTATATAAAAAATATTGTGAAATATTGCAAATAAAAATGTGCTTCTTATTTGATCGGACTTCATTCACGGTGATAGTACCACACTTGAGAGTAAATGTCTGGGTCTCGTCTGTGTTTCATTGGTGTCAGTTGGGAAGAAGCCACCGAACTCCCTGCTGTATACGCGAGGGTGTCATCATCCTGAAATATATTAGAACATTTTTTATATTTAATTGTCATGGTGTAACAGGTGATATTTTCCCATTGGATAGTTACTGCATGATCAGAAACACTGTCACTGTTGTATATTGTTTCATGCTTAGTTTAATTTTTGAATCCATTCAATCCAAAGTCTCCTCTGAGCGCTCAGTGCTCACTTTAGCTTTTTTTTTTTGCATGGACTCTTTAGCAGTCAAATTGTGTTCACAATGAATCTGTGCCTTTATTAGCGTAGCATGGGTAAAGCACTTCAGTTGTTTAGTTAAAATACTGAAGTCCTTTCCAAGCTGTCCAAATGCATGGAAAAAAATCCACAAGAATGCATAGGTGTTTTTTAATGTAAACTGAGATAGTTTCAGTCTGATGAAATATTCCAAAGTGTGACTTTTTGTGGTTTGGCAGTGTGCACAATCGGGTTAAGGTCTAGTTAGTAGAATAAACTGGTCATTCAGTATTTTCTGATTGTCAGCTGTCTCCAATCCATGTACTTAATGTTTCTGAAAATACAGTAATTAAATAATGAGAGGCTTTTATTTGCTTGGTGATGTGTATAAATAATCAGTAGTCTGACCCGGCTGTTGTAAGAAGATCTATGGCCATAAGTGTCCATTTCTGTCATTAAAACAGTCAACAAAAAGTGTTTTATTAAGATAAAAACAGGTATTTTACAGGACTATTTGGACGGTACCTGACTTATTGCTGCTTCTCCAAATCCCCCACAGAAGCACAAACACCACCAGTCCAACCACAATGTTTGACCCAATCACAGCCATGACATTTGGACTGAAGGAATCTGAAAAAGAGAGTATTTTTTTGTACACCTGGAAAACAAGCATTTCTGCAAACTGGATTTGTGTTGAATAAATTGGTACCAACAGCACAAACACTCAGGGCCCCAAGGCCACCAGAGGGCCCCCAAGAGCCCATACATATAGTATGATACATTGAAAAAACATTGTAAAATGAGTTTTTCCTGTACAGCGCTCAGGTGTTCATTAGTCTAAACATCCATCTAAAATGATAAAATCAGTTTTATTTCCAGAAGTTCAATATTTGTTGCCAGTATTTGTGTTTGAGTTGGGCATGGTGTGGGCAGTGTCGTGTTTACACCCGTGTGAGGGCCTCTCATGTGGCCCTTTCCGTCCAGGTGCACTCTGGGTGCACGGGGAGAGCGGAGGTACATTTGAATGGCTGTTTTACAAGTTAGATAAAAAGGAAGTGAAATAAAGTTTGTCAAAAATAAAGTGCATCAAGAGCCCCAGAGGAAGACAGTTTTTTCGGAGAGGGCTGTCTCACACTTAACACCATTAGATATGCCAGGAGAAAACAGTGAAGCTGGACATTTATATTTAAACAGAAAGGACATAATGCAAGCGACATGAAGACAGCGTGGTGAGTCATTTTATCCAACTGGCTGTTTTTGGTTGTGACTGTAACCAGCATCTATGATGTGGCATCATAGATAATGGCACTGTTTAGTCGGTCCTGCACAAAGACAGCATGTGGTCTCATAAAAATGTGATAGGCCTATTGGGCAGAACTGTGTTTACTGGGTCTGTCAGTCTGAGGAGCCTCTGTGTACATAGGCCACTGGTTAAACGATTGTACTTCTCTGAGTAGTGTTCAGACCCCATACTCAGTACTCTAGAGTAAAGCTTTACTGTGTCTGAGTCGACTAGTGACAAAACCATGTTTTGCCCTTTCAATTACATTCCAACTACAACCTATATACCTATACCTATATCTAATGATGTGTCCAGAGTGTTTCTCTTATGCTACTATGTCTAAGTAAGGGCCTTACCTTACCTTTTGGCTATTTGCCCAATTCGGTATTTTAATACTACTACTACTACTACTACTACTACTAACTAATAATAATAATAATAATAATGCATTTTACATACCGCTTTTCTGGACACTCAAAGATGCTTTACCAAGCATTATTCAGTGTCCATACCCAGTTGCAGTAAATTACTATTGCAGCCACAGCTGCCGTGGGGCAGACTGAGGGGAGCAAGGCTGCTAATCTGTGCCATCAGCCCCTCCAAACACCACCATCACTCATCACTCAATCATACTTGGCCATGTCGGTGAAGTGCCTTGACTTAGGATGACAGTTTTTGCATCCAGCGCCCCCCTGTGGCTCCTGATTTCCCCAGTGTCTCCCATCCAAGTACTAACCAGACCCGGCCCTGCTGAGCTTCTGAGATCTGACTAGATCAAGCTTTGACAAACTGGTAAGCTGGTTTAATAACACAAAGAGATGTTAAATATGAACACATTAAAAGGCACCAGAAATCAGGAAAAAATGTCTAGAATTAAAAAAAAAAAGTGCTTGTATACTATTCTTGTGGCTATTTTCTGTTAGATTTTTACCACTTCACATGATGACAATGTTGCTTTAATTTTGTTTAATGTGAAGCACCAGTAGCTGAGCCGCAAGGCGAGGACCCCGACTGCTAACAGTAGTCCCCTGAAGGCTACATAAACATATATTTACATACTGAACTTACGTGTTATGTTCTGCAGATAAATCCTGGTCCCTCTGCCCTGCAGTGTGTGTCCACAAGCCGTCACCACACAGACATAGGTCTCATCTTCAGCAGAACTCAGGTCCTTCCAAGTCAGGGTCAGGTTATGCACATATGAAGTTTCTCCAGTGTTGACTTGGTTCTCACAGATGATATTCTTGGTTTCATTGCTCCATGAAATTATTTCTGATGTAGAACTCTTTTTCTTCCACTGGACACTGATGTGTTCTTTTGTACAGAGGCTGGTGTTAAACCAACAGCTGAGAGTCACAGAGTCTCCTGGCTGCACTCTGATGTAGTCTGGACTCTGGACCACAGACTGGAGTGAAGGAGGAAGACTGGACTTTCCTTCAACCACCACCACCTCAGTCCCTGGTTCAAAGCTGACACCATACTCATCTATAACTCCACAGTAGTACGTGCCGGCATCCTCCCATCTCACACGTGACACTCTCAAAGTATTACTATCTTCAGAAGACTGTATAGAGTAACGGGAATTTTTGTAGAGATTTTCACCTTTGAGGCTATTTACTGATACCATCAGGTGTAGTCTCTTGCTGGAGTCCAGTTTGTACCAGACCACAGTTCTTGAACCACTGTAGACTTGACAGTTTACATGTAATGTGGCTCCCATTGGTGTGGTTTGAGGTTCTGCCTTGGCTGAAATTAAAAAACAAATATTTTTTTAGTCATATAAAAGAAAAAGATAAAGATCAAATGTAGCAGTTTTCTAACTTACCCTGAGTCCAGATCAGGATCACACCTAGAACCCTCAGAATAGACGTCATTTTGTCTCGGCGTAGATGATTTTGATCTGAAGAAGGCAGGAGACCAACTTTAAGGACTTGAGCCGAGGTATCTGATTGGACAGCTGCCTCCACATAACTCCACCTGATTGGTTGCCTTCATAACGTCACTGAGAACTGCAGACTGTTCATTGCAAACAACCATATATAGAAATTGTAACATTCTGTACTCAGCTTCATTCCTCGACAAAAGTGTATAAATATATTTTAAAAAGTCAAAATTCTCCTTAAGTCTGTGCAAAACTTGCCACCAGCTACATTATGAAAATCTATTTAGACTGGAAACCCCAAACTCTAGACCAACTGATTTAGAAGTAGTTTTGTGGTACTCACCTTCACGTTGACCACGAGAAGAGCTTTGACCATGCACGACTGAGGAGACACGTTTAAATCAGTTGTGTGGGCGAGATACTGAAACTATGCATGTGGTTCCATTGTACCTTGAATACACTTATGACCCGTGTAGATGTGATGATATGAAACTTGATGCTGTAGATCAGGACAAAGGTTACAGCTATAACTGCACGCTTCCTGTTAAAATGCTTTATAATTAGATGTAGACAGCACACAGTGGACTGATTGTCTTTGGCCTCAAGAGCTGCCAATGTAATAAATCTGCCAGGACAAAGTTTGCTTACAGATTAAAATGACAGATATTGAGCCATATTCATGGACTTTACAGATGGGTATTTGTCTACAGACATGTTAAATGTTAAAATACAACTTATAGGCCCAGTTACTTGATCACATGATGTAATATGTAACAGAATATGACCCCAATCCAATCCACTTTATTTCTATAGTACATTTCACAAACAAACTGTTTCCAAAGTGCTGCACAAATACATAAAAAATAATAACAATAAGATGATAAAGTAAACTACTAAAATACTACTAGTCTTAAAATAATAAAACCAGTAAAATAAAATAAAACCAGTAAAATAAAAATAAAACTATATCATAGAATAGAAATAAATAAACCAATAAATATATTAAATCAGTAAAACCAATAAAAACACATAAAAATAAATAAAAGACACAGAGGCACACAACTCACGCGGTGTTAAAAGCCAGAGAATAAAAGTGGGTCTTCAGACGAGATTTAAAACTCTCCACTGTGGAGCTGCTCCAACGTGAAGCGGCAGATCGTTCCAGAGTTTAGGGTCGACCACAGAGAAGCTCCTGTCCCCTCTGGTTTTAAGTCTCGTCTTAGGCCCTGAGCTGGAGCTGGACCTCGGACCTCAGAGCGCGTACAGGGGTATAAATTTGGAGGTCCGAGATGTACTGTGGAGCCAGTCCATTCAAAGCTTTAAAAACAAACAATAAAATCTTAAAATCAATTCTAAAATGAACAGGGAGCCAGTGCAAAGATGCAAGGATTGGGGTGATGTGCTCTTCTCTCCTTTTTGTTCCTGTTAAAAGTCGCGCTGCAGAGTTTTGGACTAACTGTCGTCGGTAAAGTGCGTTTTGCGAAATGACGGAATAAAGTGCATTACAGTCGTCCAGGCGTGATGAAATAAAAGCGTGCATAACTTGTTCAAATAGTTTAAAAGATAAAAAAGGTTTAACTTTAGATAAAAGTCGCAAATGATAAAAAACTTGATTTTAAAACATTGTTAATCTGTTTATCAAATTTAAAATCATCGTCTAAGATGACGCCAAGGTTGGTGACCCCAGCTGATATGCTAACAGAATCTGGAGATTCAGGGTACAAGGGCAGATCTGCTGGTGAGGTTTAGTTGAGCGATATCCATTTTTAAATATTGTCATACCACCCCCTACTTATACCGTGACAGACGGTATTGTTGCCTACCCACTTACCTAAGGGAAATCTGCATTAAATTTAGATTTCCTTAATTGACACATACACAGAGTCTAAAATAGATCAAAATCCACTCATTTATTAAAGAACAGTGTGAATCTAGCTGGTTTAAACTCATCTCTCCGCACGCACCTGTCAGCTGATATTAATGGGGATCATTTAATACATCTAAAGGTTCTTTCACACCGACAGTAGTTGGTGCACACCAAACGGTCCATTCAAACCAACAGCTCTTAGTTTGGTTAGTTTTTGTTGGTGTGAAAGCGTCAATCGGACACGGACCCGCACCAAACCAAGCAAACCGAGACCTCAAAAAAGAGGTGGTCTTTCGCTTGAATCCGCACCAAATGTCAAACTGTGGTGTGGTTCCTCTGGTGTGAACGCGAACTCGGGTCCAAACCATAGACAGCAGGTCCAAACGTACTATTCTAGATGCATCATGGGAGGGGACATGCGTCTCCTCTGACATGACTCCAGACCAGTAAGAGATTGTTCTCCAGATGCAGCTGTGACTCATTTTCGAAATATTTTGTCAACAATGGCCAGTACAGAGAATGTAACACACGATGATCAGAGCAAGAACCAAAGTGCGAAAGTGTGGCTCCAGAGTGACTCAAAATTGGGGGTGTGTACGTCTGTTTGGGACCTGCACGCACAGAGAGGTCCTGGTGTTCCACGTGTTCATGTAACAACCAGCATTTGTTATTTTAGGCTTTAATTAGCCAAATAATTCTATGGCAATAGGCAACAGCCTATTCAATTGATACAACTTTAAAAATGCCCTGCTTTAAACCTAATGTGAGAAATACAGTCGGACCAGAACCAAACCAGAATCCTGAACCAGCGGGAGCAGCTCCGGTTCAGGCCAGGCTCAGATGACGTGGAGAGGTGAGAGATGTCAGGAGCCTCGACCTGAGAAGAACTTCCCCGGGAAGAACCAAGAGCTCGAAGGACGGATGCTCAGAATGGTTCTTGAGCGCGGAGGACCGGAGCAGCCTGCCCAGACCTGTAGTCCACAGCACATTCTCGCTTTCCCCCCCAGAACCAGCACGCAGACGATGGAACGTACCCGCTCGAACTCAGTCCACTGTGCATTGGTATTGCTCGCCACCATCTGGAACCAGCACATGGAGGATGGAGCCTCCGGACCTACCTGACCAACGTGGTTGTAGGACAACAGACCAAGGACCAGACCCCAGACTCGTCCTGAGGGGCTGTGAGCTATGGTGAGTGCTCCTCTTTATCGCTGTAGACTGCTGCTGTTGCCCGAACTCAGAGCTTCTGCTCTGGGATGATGTGGTGAGTTTGTACAAAGTTGCTGTTTTATGAGTTCATGATGATAACTTGAGATGAGGACGGCCCGTGGTATTCACAGGGAACATCGGTATTGGTAGTTGGAGGTATCGCTGTTCTCACGGGAACCAGAGGTACGTCAGTCAGACCAATTTTGGTTGATTTGCCGGAGTGAAAGTGGACCACGCTGGAGTGTATTTGCTACATAATATTTTTATTGCCTGGTGCGGATCAAATAATCAAACTAAATTGATTATTGCCCTAATACACTATTTGAAGCAGTGCTTCTTTTTCAGATGTGTTGAATGGACACACATTTTTTTCAAGTTCAATGATTTTCATCTGTGTAACTAATATACCTGATCCAAATGCTTGTGTTGAAGAGCTACACTAAACAGTGAACCACACGCGCATTTAAACAGAACCTGAATGTGGACTTGAGGGGGAAAAGCAGTGTATTTTCTAATGACCACTAATACACACGTAGGTTATTTATTAAATCTATTCTTTAAATCAGCCAATCGGGCACTCACTGACATGTTTTATCAATGTCCTGATGTTGACGCATGCGCATGTGTCTCGACGACTGGATGTACAATATGTTGGAGTGAATGAAAACATAACAGTTATCTGTGTATTTGGGTGGTTTATGAAGTTGGTTCAATCAGCTGTGTGTCCTGTCCAAGCAACTCTGCTTCTGTCCTTCACAGGCATGAAGAAAATAACATACAGTAGATCCAAAGTGAGAACATATTCATGACAAGTTTATAAAGTCAGAATCTATCCATACCCTCCATACATCCTGTGCAGTGCTCCACAAGTTCCCGTGTTAACAAGTGATCTTCCTTGTGGGCAGTGCTGGTTGAGCTCCAACAGTTGTTTTGACGGAAGACGGAGCCTCATTGGATTTGCACCCCAGCCTCCGAACCAGCTCTCAGCAGCCTGCCTCTTTTTTGTAATCAATAAATCCTGTTAATTTTTTTTAACTTTCCTTGTCTGCATTTGATCTGCCAGTGATTATAAGAAATGTACAGGTATAATATCTGTCAAATGGCTGAGAATGTCTGTGTAATGGAGTTATTTATTGGCTACAGTGGTAAATACTTTGCACATTCTAGAGGGGATTTTTATTTTTATTTTTTTACAGATGGTATTGAAGGTGACATGCTTTTTCAATACCACAGTATACAATATTATCCTCATATTACCCAACTTTACTGTGCAAGACTGTATTTAGAGCATGTGATGCTGTATTCAGCACACAACACAAATCATATTTTAAAAACAGTAGAGAAATTGAGCTCCACATAACAAATGGTCCTCATGAAAAAAGTACAGATGTTCATTTCTGAACAAATTAACTTTTCTACTTTCAAGGCACTGTGCTTTACATATAGGAAACCATGCACTCACTCACTCGCATGCACGCACACACACACACACACACACACACACACGCGCACACATGCACACGTACACACACACACACACACGCACACATGCACACGTACACACACACACACACACACACACGCACACATGCACACGTACACACACACGCAGACACTAGGATCAATGTTTAAGTGTCTTGCCCAAAGAGACAATGGTAGCATTCATTGGTGTCACGTGGGACTGAACTAACCACCTGTGGGCCAGGGGATCTAACCGCTACCAATGATGGTACGGTATATACTCTATACTGGAGTATAGAGTTTTTTTGTTTGTTTTTAATTCAACAAACAAAACATACATATACACATCCATACATCCACATGTTAAATGGTCACATTTTTCTATAGTGCTTTTCCACCTTCAATGCACTCAAAGTGCTTTACAACACATTCACACACCAGTGTACACAGACACGTGTCTTGCCCAAGGACACAACGACAGCATTCATCTGTGGGAGCTGGAATCACACCAGCCAACCTGTGGGTCAGTGGATCTGACCGCTCAACCTGTGATGTTTATGTCGAGAGCTGGAGTCGAACCACCAACCTTCAGATCTGCCTCAGCACACGAGGGTTGACTTGGTCTCAGATGAACTTTCTCCAGCTGTCTTCTCACCTGGACAGGTAACAAAGGCACTGGGCTGGGCTAGTTTGTCTCATTTACTGTGTCTGTCCCTTGAAAATACCAGATTTTGTGCCTCTGTTCTTCCAGTGACATTAACTATATATTATAAATCAGATGTTATGTCCCGACAGTTACTCTCTAAACTACTCAG